AAACAAACCATGAATGAATTTCATTATCATTCAACTGATTCTCTTAGAACAATATAAACTATACTCTTCTGTGGTAGTGTTAGACGTTTAACGACAACAACAAGGGAAATGAGATTTTGTTTTACCCTAGTTTAGTAACTATAGTAACCTTTTAATAGTTGACATTATCCTACAGTAACTAACGTTATTTTTTTAATCACTTTAACAAATGGGTTATAAGTTTGAGTTCGAACCCCAGCAGTTCGGTTTTGACTGTTGAGCAAAAACCAGTCAGCTCCGATTCATCATGTGACTTAGGAAAGATTCTACAAACCTATAATTAGGAAATGAGTTATGAGATTCCATATTTCTTGATGTTTCTATTACTACTATTGGTTAGTTAACCATGTACTATTATATTATTAGATTAAACTTAAACAACCCATCTTAAATGACATTTTAGTGGGTCTATTCCCTTTGACATCAATTAGATCTCACAATGTTATTGATGGGCTCACCACTTTAGTGGCCCAGGATCTAACATCAATTAGATCGTATGAATGTTTGCTGTCGAAATGTATATATCTTGACTATTCTCGTACATAATTATCGACTTAGATCGTGTTAGTGAACAACGAAATTAAATAAGTCAAATATGAGAATGGATTTCGAATACATATAGTTTGTACAATCATTGGTCTGGATAGACAATTAGAGGGACAGAGCGAAACGATGCGAGGTGGAGAAGTCTCATGAGCCAACTCCATTTAGTCAACCCGTGATCGATATTTATAGTCACACAAAATTAAGCTACAGACATGTAATGAATGGGATAAGAAGTGTACACACATGCGATTACATAAGAACAGTTAAGGTTGATAAGTAAATAATTAATAAGATCAAAATGTAACCCAAGTGGAATGAACAGGTTGGCTTGTCCGGAAGCTAGAATAAATTATATGCGCTTAACGTATCAACTGACACTACAATATAATCAGAAAGGGGTTTTGTGGAGATTTTAATAATTTTAATAGTTGAATTCATGAATCAATTAATGCTGGTGCACTAGGGAAAACCTGGAAGCATTGGACAGCCGGATCGTGAATGCTCACTGCTGAGGAGTCCCATACTAAGACAAAATGACTGTCCAATGCTTCCAAGTTTTCCATAGTGCTGTAACTTCAATGGACTCATCAATTTAACTAATTAATGATGTAATTTTGGTAAGCAGTAATGTCTAAATATGTGGTACATTATAAAACCAACGTGACAAACTCAGATATCATTTTGGTTATGGTGTTCATATGTGAAAATCTACCAAATATCCACTTGATAGTGTGTGATATTGTAATGAATATGAAAAATAATTCATCATTCGTTAAGCTATAGAAAAAAACGGGGGGGGGGTAAAGGGGTTAATTGTCACCATACAAACTATTACATAGTTCACTATTGTAGATCTTAAAAGAACGATTAACAATCTGTTTCAATATGATGTCTCTTTACTGAAGTTCAACTATATTAAATTTATATTTGAAATTTTATTGTCATATTACATCATTGAACTAACTTGAAATTCAAATGACTTTCAAGTATTCAGATGATGTAATCAGTTACACTAGTGAAATCATAAGAAAGGTGATTGTATTTCAATAAAAAATTCCCTGAATTTCAGTACTCATAAGATAGATGTTATGGTAGTTATTCCCATCTACCGATTGCCCTGAAGTGCGATGCTTTATGGTGTAGAAGTAGGTTAGAAGAAAGCTAGGGGAAGTCAAACCAAAATATGGCACAAATTTATGAAGTCACTGATAAGTGAATTGAGTGAGCCATGTTAGTAGATGTACACTATCTGATTGTGATCCACGAGATGATAGCAACCAATGGTTAGACACCTTTGTTATACTTTGAATAACTTATGATTATTATTTCGAATTCTATCATCAAAATTATCAACTGGTAAAGATTGCCAAGAACAGGGTTGAATGAAGAGTGCTGGCAAGTGGCCAATGCTCCTCCAAAAGGAGTAACAGTCGTAAGTAAGTATGTATCATCAAAATCATATGAAAATCATTCATACTAATCAATTAAGAATAAAATATCATAGAATTATCTTTTAATTGAATGAATTAATGAGACATTCAACCTACCTATTCATCATATATTTCACGTGAATTTTCATGATAAGTAAATAGTGAAGTTTAATGAGACAAATTGATGGATGATAATCTATGGATGAATGTTCATTTGGCTGACATTCCTTAAATTAATAACACCAAACGTACTATAATCTAGAAAAATTGATGGCTTGTATTATAACTTGGGGCTTTGTGCTCTTATTAATCTATAACGTAATGATATCACCAATTAGAGAACTGTGATTTATCGACCGGACCGTACGAGCAGTCTAGAGTCTCCATCAATCCTGCCTCCCGTCTAGTCCTGTCTGTTAAATCCAGAACACAAATCTCAGCCTCTACTACAATATGAATCATGTATTTCAAACACTGTGTTTATATACAAACCAAACCGATGGAATCACACCATACAATAGGAAATAACATTTGTACAAGATGTTACCAAAATGTGTCTGTGAATGTGTGAGACTGTAATTAATAGACTGGGTATAACTCAATAACGGTAAATCGTATAATAATAGTCTATAGATCTAAGGGAAGCTTACATTAAGAGGAATATGAATATGTATAGTTAAGTTACTTAGCAATTACCATACATTATTGTCGTTGGGATATAACAGAAACCAATGTCACTAACTGATTGTTCTCATTATTGAACTCAACATTTGTATTTCACATAGAGTATGCTTTTGTTTACTAAGTAAATTCACATATAAATCGATCTAAATGTCCTTTTGTAGGCGTATGAAGGACTAAAAATTTTCAACTATGCTTTTATTTATTATAGACTAACAGGCGAATGCTGGTCGGCGGCCTATGCTCTATTGGGAGTAACAGGTGTAAGTAAGTAACAGGAGTTAATGAAGGAATCCATCTATTTTGTTTTATTCGTTTTGTAGGGGTGCGATTATTACTACTGATGACAACAGAAATAAATAGTATGTATCATCAAACGAAAATGAAATGTCTGGAGGCAAAAGGTTAAGAAGATCAAAGAAAAAAGAAAACAAGGAAAGAGTATGATTGTTATAAAAGCCAAGAATTAATAGTCTGAGAGGATTGATTGATATTTCTTAAATGAAGTATTCTATGTTCGGAGGAAGAAATCAGGAAGAAGCACTGAAAGTGGATGGGATACACAATGAGGAAAGCACCCATCTGCATCACAAGGCAAGCCCTCACATGGAATCCTCAATGCCAAAGGAAGAGAAGAAGAGCGAAGTATACATTACATCGAGAAATGGAGACAGAAATGAGAAATATGAACAAAGATTAGACAGAACTAGAAAGGAAGGCTCAGAATAGAGTGGGTTGGAGAATGCTGGTTGACAGCCTATGTTCCATTGGGAGTAAGTAAGCAAGTAAGTAATTATTTTCAAACACATTTGGTTGTCTCACACTTGGTGTTCTCTTTAGCTAAATTGGAGGGGGTTACGTTAAATATCATGTTCATAGATTATGACTAAAGTTCATATCTGATCAGAATATTCTGCTTACTTCAATACAAAAAGGTTGTAATTTTTAAAGTTTGGTTTGTCATCTTATAATCAGAATCCAGATCAGATTGTTTGTAAATGTTTGAATTTCGGCACAAATCATTTTAACTATTTATCATAGTTATCAGTTTAAGGGTTGTGGAGATTATTAAGTTTTTGATTGAGATCATGAACCGATTGATGTTAGACCACCATTGAAAACCTGGAAGCACTGGACGGCCTTTTCGTCCTATTGTGGAACTCCTTAGTAGTGCTCATCTACGATCCCGCTCTCTGGATTCGAACCAAGGGCCTTCAATCTCACAAGAGAACGCTCAACCTACTGGACCAGTGGACTAGTATTTGAAATCATTCTGTACAAATTAATATGTAGAGCTAAATAAAGTTGTAAGGGAATACTCTCATGATCACACAAGGAGATTCATCTCAGTTATTAGAATTTACACGGCATAAGAACATCTTTTTTTAGTGAATCTTTACATAACATGATTGAATCGCAATTGAATTGACAGTAATCGTTATATTTCAAATGTATTGTGCTCAAAATGTACATTTTGTTAGATTGATTCTGGTTGGCTTACTTACTTACACCTGTTACCGCTAGTGGAGAAGTATAGGTCGCCCACAAGCATTCTTCATCCGACAATGTCATGGATAATCCTTTCCGTTTTTTTCTAGTTGCTATTCATCCTTTATATATCTGCTTCCATTCAGGATTCCAAGTTTGGTCTTGCTTCGTGATGTAGTTTGATGATTTCTTCAATCTATAACCTATCCACTTCTATCATCTCTTTCTAATCTCCTCCTCATCCCGAAGCTGGTCTATTTTCTTCCATAATACTCTGTTGGTAATCATATCTAACCAACGGACAGCTGTTTACAGATACTTTTACCTTTATGATGATGGTAGTAGTAATAGATTTCCAAGTTTCAACTCCATACCATAGAACCGTCTTGACATTCATATTGAAGATTGTAACTTTGATATTGGCTTGTATACACAGTTGTTTTAACTTCCATATATTCTTCAATTGTAGGAATACTGTTGTCGTTTTGTCAACCCTCCCCTTCATATCTTCATCAGTTCCTCATTCTTCATCAATCATACTGTTCAGATGATGACTGAAAGATTCCATATTTTCCAGAGTTTCATCATCCAGTCTGATTGTATTGATGTTCTTCGTGTTGTTGATCAGCTTATAAACTGTAATAATTCAGTTTATCAATAATACTTAAAAAAATTAGGTAATTAACATGTTTTGACTGTGTTCTTTCTTGGTGTTGTTGTTGTTGTTGTTGCTGTGGTTTTTGTTGTTGTTGTTGTTGTTGTTAAATTGAACAAACTTTCTTTTTCATTAAATATTGATTGAATACTTCAAGTTTTCTAATCATAAGATGAGTGTTTTTTTTTGTTTGTTTGTTTGCTTGTTTCTTTCTTTTTAGAGAAAGAAAAATAAAACATACCAATAAACAAGAGCCTATCACATGATCTGTTGTTTCTTCTAAAGGAATAATGATAATGACAATGTTTATCATTAGTATCATTATTATTATTAGAAGTAGTAATGTTAGTGACAGTAGAAGTGGTAGTAGTAGTAGTATTGGTAGCAGTAGTAGTAGTAGTAGTAGTAGTAGTAGTAGTAGTAGTAGTAGTAGTAGTAGTAGTAGTAGTAGTAGTAGTAGTAGTAGTAGTAGTAGTAGTAGTAGTAGTAGTAGTAGTAGTAGTAGTAGTAGTAGTAGTAGTAGTAGTAGTAGTAGTAGTAGTAGTAGTAGTAGTAGTAGTAGTAGTAGTAGTAGTAGTAGTAGTAGTAGTAGTAGTAGTAGTAGTAGTATTGGTAGCAGTAGTAGTAGTAGTAGTAGTAGTAGTAGTAGTAGTCGTAGTGGTAGTAGTAGTAGTAGTAGTAGTAGTAGTAGTAGTAGTAGTAGTAGTAGTAGTAGTAGTAGTAGTATTGGTAGCAGTAGTAGTAGTAGTAGTAGTAGTAGTAGTAGTAGTCGTAGTGGTAGTAGTAGCAGTACTAGTGGTAGTAGTAGTAGTAGTAGTAGTAGTAGTCGTAGTGGTATTAACAGTAGTAGTGGTAGTATTGGTAGTAGTAGTAATAATAATAATAGTGGTAGTAGTAGCAGAAGTAGTTTTAGTAGTAGTAGTAGTATTAGGTGTTTCTCTGATCTTTATGTTATTGATGTTCACTCCGGGACTCGAACAGTACTAGGATTCAGTGTCAGAGTGAACATCAACTCTGAGATGCAGATATATCTAACTGACGAGTCCCTTGTGGGACGAAACATGCGTCATTGGATTTCACTACTAGCTGTCATCTATTTTTGTTTACAATACTTGTGACTTAAAACAATATCTAGGCAATTCGTACAAGATGCATATATATATAAACCAATAATAGACTGATCCATTCCAATCTCTTAAACATCAATGGGAAGATTCAATCAAACAGTACACACATCATACAATTCAATGATCAAAAATTTTCGATCATTATGAAATACGATTAAAGTAATAAAGTTAACTCTATTGATTTGTGTATTATGTACTTAGGAATTGAATCGATTAAACTGATCACCATTTGATTGATTTACTATTGAAGGTTAATGATTTATTGATTTTTGTATTATAATTTGAAATTATTTATTATAAGTCAATATTGTCATTGAATTGTTTGAAATTCTTCAATTATTTCATTGATATAATTACATAATTGATTATGTAATTATCAATTAGGGTAATGCGTTGATTTGTCCAATGATTACATGTATATAATACACCATTTTTAATTTCACTGGTTGAATCTCGCGGGAGGGGGCGGTATCGTGGATGCGCACTGCTGAGGAGTCCCATACTAGGACGAAACGGCCGTTCAGTGCTTTCAAGTTTTCCATGGTGGTCTAGCTTCAATTGACTTATGAATTCAACCAGTGAAATTTCTAAAATCTTCACAAAACCTATTCTGATAACACGTTTTTAATTTATAAAAGTTAAGTAGGAAATAAATAAATAAATAAACAAGTGAATGAGATAATGAGATAGATTAGTGAATTTGTGGAGATTATGGTGTTTTCACTGTTGTAGTCACAAACTGATCTTTGTTAGATCCTACTTATTTACTTATTTACGCCTGTTACTCCTCGTGAAGGAGCATAGGCCGCTCACCAACATTCACCATCCAACCCTGTCCTGGGCAATCCTTTCCAGCTCTTTCCAGTTCATATTCATCCTTTTCATATCTGTTTTTGTTTCCCAACATAATGTGTTCATTGGCTTTCCTCTTTTCCGATTCCCTTCAAGATACCAAGTTAGGGCTTGCCTCGTGATGCAGTTTGATGATTTGCGTAATGTATGTCCTATCCATTCCCATTGTCTTTTCCTAATTTTCTCTTCAGTTGGAAGCTGATTTCCTCTCTCTCACAGAAGGCTGTTGCTCATGGTATCCGGCCAATGGATGTTGAGTATCTTGCGAAGACAGTTATTTATAAATACTTGCATCTTCTTGATGATGGTTGTTGTAGTTCTCCAAGTTTCAGCTCCATACAGTAGAACTGCCTTGACGTTCATATTGAAGATTCTCACTTTGATATTGGTTGAAAGTTGTTTTGAGTTCCATATGTTCTTCAATTGTAGGAATGCGGCACTTGCTTTGCCGACCCTCGCCTTTACGTCTGCATCTGAACCTCCTTGTTCATCGATGACGTCTCCCAGGTATGTGAAGGATTCTACATTTTCCAGAGTTTGGCTATCAAGTGTGATCGGACTGGTATTCTCTGTGTTGTATTTGAGGACCTTGATTTTCCCCTAGTGTATGTTGAGGCCTACTGATGCAGTGACTGCTGATACACTGGCTGTCTGCGAAGTCCAAATCGTCTAATTGGTTCTCAGCTGTCCATTGTATTTCGTGTTTTCCTTCAGATGTCGAGCTCTTCATAATCCAGTCGATCACCAGAAGAAAGAGGAAGGGAGAGAGTAGAAGTCTTTGTCTGGCTCCGGTCTTTACTTGGAATGCATCTGTCAGCTGTCCTCCATGCACCATCTTGCATTGTATTCCGTCAAGTGAATTCTTGATGAGGTTGACAACCTTCTCAGGAACTCCGTAGTGTCGAAGAAGTTTCCATAACGTTCTCTTATCCACACTGTCAAATGCCTTTTCATAATCAATGAAGTTGATGTACAGTGACGAGTTCCACTCAACTGATTATTCGACGATGATCCGTAGTATCGCAATTTGGTCTGTGCACATCTTTGTTAGATCAACACTGTAAATTTGGAAGTAATGGAAAGGTATTTTGTTCTCGTGTAGGACTTATCAAAAGTTTGCATTCATGAACATTGTTTGATATCGGATTGGTGGTTTTAAAGTTAGACGTTTGCACTGGAAATTGAATGTTCTAGGTTTGATTCATGCATATAGGGTCGTGGATGAGCATTTCTGATGTGTCTTATATTAGAACAGATCGGTCGTTTAGCTCTTTCAGGTGTTCAGCAGTGGTTTATTCAAAATTTGTTCATGATTATAACCGTTAAATCTTTTTTTGTGTGGAAAAAATGTTATAGAAGCAACTGTTATTCATCGAAAGGTACTATTGTAATACGTATAACCAGTGATGATGATATACACATAGATTGGCTCATGGTACTTGGAAAACATTTCTAGCTAAATGAAGTTTTGATAATTGATTAATATCCGTCTAATCATTATTGAAGTCCTGGGCTCATTGAATTTCTGGGTTTTGTTTTGCTATTTACTTGCTTAAGGCTGTTACTCCCAATGGAGTATAGGCCACCGACCAACATTGTCAAACCCACTCTGTCCTACGCCTTTCTTTCTAATTCTATCCAATTTTTGTTCATTCTTCTCATGTATTTCTTTCTCGGAGTAATTTGTTCTTTGGTCATCCTCTTTTCCTTTAGACTTAAGTGTTCTAGGCGAAGGTGTATATTCTATCCACTTCCAGTACTTCTTCCGGATTTCCTCCTCTATTCGAATCTGGTTTGTTCTCCCTTACAGTAGTTTGTTGCAGATAATGTACTCATTTACTGATCTCAGTTACAAGGCAAGTCTGCCATCGAATGATCCATATTCTTGAATCCAGTTAATTTTAATCTTAACCAAATTGAATGTAAACATAAGTTACGTAATGACTTAAAGAGTTAAGCATTTTACGTATAAAATGAAACTATATTGTAGACGTTTCTTCAAGTGAATTTGAATAAAAGAATTGATCAGTTTCCCAAATATTTAGGATTTTAATAATTGAATTCATGAGTTGAGTAAAGCTAGACAACTATTGAAAACTTGCAAGAATTGTATAGTCATTTTATCCTAGTATGGAATACCTGAGCAGTATGTATCCACGATCCCGCTAGCAGGACTCTAACCTAGGATCTTCGGTTTTGAGCGTAAACGCTTAACCATTAAACCATTCAGCCGTCATCTAACGATGTTATTGTCTAACTTCAACTAAATCACGATATTGCGCAATCATTCATCTATTGTCTGAGGTAAATACCTGTCTCTAACTGACAAAAATTGTATTTCATTGGTGATGTCTTCTTACTAGAACTTCAGGAAATTCAATGTTTCAATGGTGGTCTAGTTTTAATTGACTCACGAATTCAACTATTAAAATCATTGCAATCTCCACAAGCTCACAGTGTAAAAATATTTAGGATTTGAATGAACGTTCTCATCACTGGTACTACTACTACTACTACTATTAATACAATACTACTAATTACAGCAATGATAATAATGGTATTATTAAGAGTAATAATAATGAAATCGACCACAACAACAACAACAACAACAACAGTATTATTATTATTACTATACCTCAAATCTGTTCAACCATTAAGTACAAAAAAGAGTATGGTATATGTATATACTCTCTACTGATTGGTTAATGATTCATTTGAGTTACATAAACACACCCACCCACATGTAAATTCTATGCCTATATATATATACATATACATAACCATGGAAACTATTGAATATCATCATCACTAATATGCATGTTTCCTCTTCATTTTAACATCAAATTGTCCTCTTTTTTGTTTGTTTTACATACGACGGGGCGGGGGGAGTAGCGGAATATTTCATAGAGAATGACTGAATCAAATAAACTGCGGAAATATTATTATTTTTTTGATTTAACAAATTAAGGGAATTATTATTATCATTATAAATAATTAATTGGGGGTAGCAACAAAAAAAATACAAAAAAACATCATTGTGATTTGATTCTATTGAAGTGTGATGACAATTCATGATCAATTTTTCATTAGTTCAAATGAATAATGGGTTCAGGTAAGTTAATTATGCTTCACATGATCTATTAATGATCATTGAATAAGATTATCATTTATGGACAAGTTTTTTTTAAAGATTCCAAAGTGATCTTGAGAGTGTTCACCTAGTAACTAGGATCAATTAAGAGTTATAAGGCAGTAAAAGGAATTAGAATTATGATCTGAGATCTATGATCTTATATCTGATTGATTTTGTTCATAAATTATAGTCTTGCCGTTGATATTGAGATAATACTGACTTCCTGAAAGCAAAGAAGTTTTTAATGTTGTAAGTTAGTTACTTACGGAAGATAATGATGGAGATTCGAGTGATATCGTGGATTTATTGAAAATAAATACTAACAACGATGGATACTGGCTGAGTAGCCTATCTGTTATGCTTTCACGTGCGAGACTGAAGATCCTGTGTTCGAATCTCGAATACGGACACATACTACTGAGAATTCCCATATTAGGAAGAAACAGCCATTCAATATTTTCAGGCTTTCAGTAATGTTCTAACATTGATCCATTCATGATATCAATTTAAACCATGAATATCTGATTGTAAATCTTCATTCAGAGTGCTATCTTTGTGTTAGATCCCGATAAACATAATGAATGGTAACTTCGGGATCATTTTATGGACCAATACTAAACGTATCCCGATGTGAATATGGAATAATAACTGTGGTGACCTATTTATGGACCAATATGATACATATATTTTTATTGTATAATTATTAAGTAGCTAAGCTGTGCATATTCATGTTCCTCTTATTATAAGCTCTATTTTGACCTATGAACTATTATTATACGTTTTACCATTCTTGAATTATGCCTTGTCTATTAGTCACTATCTCGCACATTAACAGCCACAGTTGGCCAAATTTTGTCCATATGTTATTTTCTATTGTATGCTACGTTGTGGTCTGTTTGATTGGAATATAAACTCAGTATGTTTGAAATATAAGGATTCATATTGCAGAAGCCAAGGCTGGTGTTCTGAACTTAACTGGCTGGGTGAGATGGAAAGCAGGAGCGATCAGGACTCTAGGCTGCTCTCACGTGTTTTACGCGTCCTTGTTCCGATCGAAGTTTCGCTGCTTCTGGTTGGCGGCTTTGGGCTATAACACTATGAGAGTGTGGCATTTTTCTCATATCAAATAATTATTGTCTTTGAGTATTAGAGAACCATTCTAACAATTAAATTAAACTAATTTAACAGAAGTCAATCATTGTCGAATAGCATTTTGACATGAAAAGAATAGGCAATATGATTTGGTTGTGTGGTTTATTAAAATCTGGGTAGGCGGTTCTGGGTTCGAGCGCTAGTAAAGTAATCAATGGTTACACTACTGATGAGTCCGATAATAAGATAAAATGGCTTCTCTATACTTATTAGTTATCATTATGACTCTGAACACGGTTAAACTATCAGTCTAGCCATACCATATTTAGTCTTTGGTGTTCACCACTTCAATAACTTACTTAGTTTAACCATTAGTATAGAATTTAAGATATAGTTAGTTTGTGTATATGTGTATGTATGCCGACCAATTATGTAGTAGTTATCTGTATGTATTTGTAGCTAATTGAATAAAGATCATTTCGGTACCTTAGAATTTCACTGTTTAGATATGATCAAACGTAATTAATTGACCTTGGAAACTAAATTTAATAGTCACAACAAATGTATTCAGAACATTAACAAATGATCTAAGTGGGTTTATAATGTATTATTTTATAAAATCAATATTTATGGATTATTCCCCTTTTATGAATCGTTTTATGTATTCTAACCTTGAATAATGTCACCAAGTTATTATGTATTACATAATCCAGTAGATGAGTTACATTTGGAAAACACATGAAGACAAATACGTACTTAGCAACTACTAGACATCTATTCTTTATGATACTAATCAATGTTCATTGAAAGAGATTTCTTTTATTAGTGTTGTTGTATCCCAACAAGAATATTGAATAGTAACTGTGGTGACCTATTTATGGACTAACAGGATGCATACATTTTTATTGTATAATTATTAAGTAACTAAGCTATACATATACATGTTTTTCCTATTATATGCTCTATTTTGACCCATCGATGATTGTTATACGATTTTCCGTTATTGAGTTATGCCCGGTCTATTAATGACAGTCTCCCACATTCACAGCCACATTTGGTTAGATCTTGTATCAGTGTCATTTTCTCTTTTATGGTGTGATGTGGTCTGTTTAGTTTGTATATAAACACAGTATGTTTGAAATACATGATTTATGTCGCGGAGGCTGAGATTGATGTTCTGGACTTAAAAGGCAGGCGAGGCTAGGCAGAAAGAAGGACCAGTAAAAACACTAAACTGCTCGTACGAGTTTTATACGTCATTGATCCGGTCGATAAATCATAGTTCTCTAATTGGCGGTATCATTACGTTATAGAATAATAAGATCACAAGGCCACAAGTTATAAAAGATTGAAATAAAAATTGTTATAATTTAGTCTCTTCTCTTCTTCTTCTTCTCACCGCTTAAATTCTTGTAGTTTTCACAAATCTATGTATCCATTAAATGAGAATGTTTAGTAGATTGTGCTTAATCTGGTTTCTATGTTATCTAGTATCTATTAGTAAGCTGTATCTACACTGTTTAAGGTAAATATTGTTTCATAAAATCGCATTTGATCAACTATGCTTTATATGTGGTCGTTTCGTCCTATTGTGGGACTCCTCATCAATGCACATTCACGATCCCGCCTCGCAAGATTTCAACCCAGGATCTATCGGTATCGAGCACGAGCACTTAACCTCTAGATCATTGAGACGGTATCCAGCGGCGCTACATCAGAAGGCGTTTTTATGGATATTATTGTAATTTTAATAGTTGAGATCATGAATTAATTGAAGCTGAATTACCATGACAAACCTGGAAGCACTGGACGGCCAATTCATCCTATTATGGGACTCCTCAGCAGTGCGCATCCACGATCCCACCTTACGAGATTCGAACCTAGGACTTATCAGTCTCTACTATATACTGTAGTATTGTCAATAAGTGTTTCACCTTACATGGTTGAAGTACTTCAAGGATAAAATTGATAAGTGAAAAGTATGAAATCATTAAGGTGAAATTAGTTTTAGTTCAGATTTAAATGATCCCATCATATTATAAGCTATAGTCATTGAATCTGGATATTGTCTGACAAACATTACAATCACTGGTGTTTGAAAAACATTCCACTTGTAGGAACTAATTTTAATTACAACATTTAATACTTTGCAATGGACATCTAAGAGAGAATGTTTCGTAATTCAATGCCTTTTATTTGTCAATCAATTGAGATATAGTAGTAGTCTTTATACTTAAATAAAAAGATTGCTCAGTTCCACTACAGTACAAAGTATTGTACAGTATTGTTTAGTAAAGCTTATTTATTGTGTAAACACTTTTTTACTGAGATGGTGGAGAAGATTTGTAGCTAAGGGGGTGACTTTGATGAAGTTTTGTTCTCTGAGCTGGATGGTTTGGTCGTGGAGCTTTCAAACTTCAGATAGACTTCTATCGGAAGTTTGTGCTGATGATGTCATTCAGAAGAACGATGAAAGCTCCACGGTCAAACCATCCAGCTCAGACAACAAAACTCCATCAAAAACACTTTATTATTATTATTATTATTATTATTATTATTATTATTATTATTATTATTATTATTATTATTACTATTATTAGTATTATTCATGGCTTTATTCAATATTATAGTTTTGACAGAATATAGAATCTTCAGCACAAAGTATTTCAACAAGTTTCTGTTTTATATATTTTGATCGATCCTGGCGATAACATAATTGAGTGATCACCAGTTAGGTGTTAACAGTTCAATAGTCGACATCTGAATCATATTCATTCTTTTCAATACATATTGCCAGCTACCACAATGTCTCTGATTGGGTTCTTTTGTAAATTGTACAACGAAAGGTTGTACACTTTTCAGAAGCGTAGTTGAATAGGTTATGCGACTCTTAAGCATATTATTCTGTTAAAATAAGCAAGAAAACAGATAACTTATTGAAATATCCAGATGGTAGGAGCAGATATCCCAGATATTTCAGTAGGCTAATAAATATGTGAAATTATGAATCAATTGAAGCTAGACTACCATGGAAAACCTATACGGTGGCGCATTTTCGTGGATTGGTTGAAGTTAGACATTAATACCGTTGGGTGTCGACCGGCTTAGTGGTCTAATGATTAATCGCTCGCGTGCGAGACTGATAGGTCCTGGGTTTGAATCTCGCTAGGTCGGATCGTGAATGCGCACTGCTAAGAAGTTCCACAATAGGACGAAAAGGCCATCCAGTGCTTCCTGGCTTTCCATAGTAGTCTAGCTTCAACTGACTCATGATCTCAACTACTGAAATGACTAAAATCTCCACAAAATCCCTTCCAATAATAAATAGATTATTAGTTAAACTGTATGTTGTACCATTAGAGATATCTTTTTTTCTTTACATGATTTGTAATGTATATCAAATGTGTCTTACTTACTGACCTACTTATGCCTGTTACTCCTCGTGAAAAAGCATAGGCCGCTCACCAGCATTCTCCATCTAACCCTGTCCTGGGCAATCCTTTCCAGCTCCTTCCACTTGTTATCCATCCTTTTGTATCTGCTTCTATTTGAGGGACCTGTTGTATTAAGTAGGAACATTTCTTAAATTATCAGTATAAGGTTATGGAGATCATGAATGGATCATTGTTAAAACACTATCGAAAACCTGGAAGCACTGGACGGCCGTTTTATCGTAGTTTGGGCGTCATAGTTCTTCTATAGATGGAGACCTTCTAACTCCTAAGGCAGAGTTTAAATGGTTTGAACTATTTTTTCTGGTTAGCGTCTTTTAGCAAGTTAGTTTTCTATAGGATAGGGTCCTTAACCCCATGCCCAACCCTCCTCCTGTACCCGAGCTTGGGACCGGCAGTAACTATAGAAGAGCTACAGGCGTAGTTAACAAATGT